CCCTCAAATTTTTGAATGAATCCCACTCGGACGGAATGTCTGTTTTTAACTTACCCAGCATTAAATCAACATTTAGCACCTAATTCATTATTTGGTCACCCGTTTTTAAATTCTAGACTGCGATACAAGACTTCATTCATAGAATATCTCAGCTTCACAAGTTCGGAGATTTAAATTGAACGCATCTCCGGCAAACCATGAATTTACGATGGCTCACATATAAGGATGGCAAACATCGATAAAAACCCGGCTCCCGTCTCAACTTTCACTGGCCTTTGCCTGAATGTTTGTAAGAAATGTACCAACCGGTAACGAAACCGGTCGCCGTCTACCTAGAGTAAATGGCGCCACTAAACGAAGATAAAGTTTTGCGACTTAATCACCTGATTCTGGACTGTGTGGTTAATAAATAATTCCATAGCCATACTGTCCACAGCGCACACTAACCTATTTGCTGATGGAGCATTTTTGGGAAATTGACTCCTTTTTTCCATCCCAAATAAAATATTATTAATAAGTCAACATGGTCCATCTCAGTCATCATAGCCAGTCACAAAATTAGGAAGGTTGTTTTCAACAACAGACACACACACAACAGAACGGAGTGCGTCAAAACGAGTGTTATTTTTTAGTGATAAAACAAAAAAGAAAACGACATAGTCCTTTGGGTTATTTTCACAAAAACGTGATGCAATAATGAAAAAATTATTATTATTGTTCATTTTCAATTTTTCCTATTCTTCTTTCTTCCTCTGCTTCTTCCATATTTTCGTTTAAATTTAATTTGTTATACTAAATACATATTTACGCATAATATTTCTATGTATATATATAAATTTATATCATTTTAAAACAGATTTACATATTTTCTGTAATCTAGAAATAGGTTTATGTATACTTGTGTCTGTTAACATGTTTCAATCTTTTTATTTATTTAAATATCAATTATTATCATAAATTTTAATGATTACGTTATTTCATAAAGTATTTTAAATAAATTTATAAACAATTTTAAATATTTAAATATAAACTATGAAAGTAAATACACGTAGATTAGATCAATAAAAATGGACATATTAGCAGTGCCGGATTAAGCATCGTCTGGCCTCAAGGCACATTTTGGAAATGGCCCAAAAATGTTGATTGAATGGACCCCATTGAATGTCTCCGAGTTTTGGTAAGTGATCATTTTACAGAGGTAGACAGCGATTTTAAGGTGCAGATAGATAGGTTTCCAGTGGCAGATTCAGGAATTCGAAATAGAGGGGACCCAGTGAGGGATTTTCACAGAAAGAGGGTCGCCACACACCCATAGGCCTTTTTCACGAATCGGTAGACATCTTGAAGTGATGACAAACATTGCGAATCAGCGGTGCGTTACCAACAGTGCAGTAGCATATTATTTTCGTGTTGTTACTGTTCCAAGTAGCGATAATATACAGATTTCTCTTATTATAAAGTACAAGTTATGTTTTATAAAGAGGTATAGTATAGTAAATCATTTTTTTAACACAGGAAACTCTCATATGGTAACTAAAACAATGCTAGTTCAGAGTATTACTAGTACTACAGCACTGTAATGCAAACACCTATTTTAATACACTACTGAGATAGGCTTTTCTTTTTCAATCTTGATTTCAGAGGCCAAAAAAATTGTTAATTTTTTTTTTCCAATCATATAGTGGTGTAGACTAGTCTTTTAAGAACATTTTGCTGGAAAATGTTTTGGATACGACGCCCCGTTATAGAGTTATGATTTTTTAAATAACATGATGTCAAAAAATATCCCAAAAGCTTATCTTATTTCTATTGGTTACGCACCGCTGATTCGCAATGTTTGTCATCACTTCATGATGTCTACCGATTCGTGAAAAAGGCCTATTGGCGGATCAGTCTAGGTCGGATATATTTTCTGGGGAGGGGGATGAGCTTGTAGGCCCGAGCTGGGGGAAGCGTTTGAGAGGGTGTTTTTTTTTTTAAAGAATAGGAACCTCTGGATGGCCAGAAATGACACTATCTGATTGTGCCAGGCATGCGTTCGCTTGGCCAGGGCCTATTTTTATATATTTCTTAGTCCAAACTGCCCGACGAGCTCCGTCCGATCAGGGAACAGTGAAATTTCAATTAGTAATTTCACTCTTCCCTGGTCCAATGGTGGGATTGATCTGTCCGGTGGTGGCTTAAGCCCCTGCTCTCCCCCGCTGGCCGCCACTGCACACACCTGCCCCACCGTTGGGGCTGAGTAAAGAAAAGTATGGTTATGGCACCTTAGATTGCCGGAAATGGCACTCTCAGATGTAAATTTGATTATAAATGATCTTTTTTTCCATATTGTTAAATATAATTTTGGAAAATTTAGGGAGGGGCGCACGTAAATCTAACGGGAACCAGTCAACTTGCCACCCCCCACCCCCTTGCAAACTAGCCCCTTGCAAACTAGCCTTCTACAAACTAGCCGCTTAACAAACTCACCTAGAAACTTTCCCTTACAACTTTCTCCAGACTATACACCGTCGTCCCTACAAACTCGCCCCCCCCCCTTCAACATACTCTTCTTGGAAGTACCATAACCATGGGAACTCTTTAAAATTGTAAGGCTGAAGAAAGGCGCTCTTGCTGGATGTCTATAAATTACTTTTGGTTAGAGGTAGCCTATTGTATATACCGAATAGGTATTATAATGAAGTGAAAAAAGAAAATACAAATTGATATATTTCTTTTATTTCAACGCATCTTTCGGTATCCGAGTAAGTGACGATGGCAGTGTTGGTGTAAAAGCGTTTTCTATTACACTCTCGATTGTCCTTCAATTTGGTAAGAATAATTTGGCCTTAGATTTGTGTTTGTAAATTTGAGACTACAGTATGTATTTAGTTAAAAAACGGTTTCCAATTGAATCCCCTGGCTAAAAATGCACTCACACCGAATCCCAATTTTCGGATCAGAAGCCTACCAAACCGATGAGAAAGAAACGGATCAGTGTATAAGAATACGCACACACTACCAATTTATGGCATCCGAAACGCGCTCCGAATCTTGGTTCGAATACGAGTTGAAATGTAAAGGCTCGGAACCTCTACCCAGGGGACCGAGTCCTGTTAGAGTCCAGTCGTGTGCAAACCCCACTACGGCATTTTTGACATCTAAGGACATAATATGGTGTTTTTTTTTTATTGTTATTTTCCTTAAAAGGTCCTGCTCACAAAATATTATATTTAATATCTCACACTGCTAATAAAGCATAATTGTAATACTTTGTCTTAAATACAGGGTATTCGAATGGCGATTTTTCGATATCAACCACGAAGAGCGAATGTAATTTCAACATTGGCTCGCTGGATGTCGACTTCCATGGGGGTGCTAGGTTAGTACAGTATTCGTCGTCTTATCATTTTGAAAGTAAAATTTTGTTGACAAGTCATAGTCAGAATTATTATTATATTCATAGTATTAATCTATATACACATAATATTCAAGAATATCTATTCAGAGTTCTGGTGTCTTGTCGTTACACATGCTTCATAAAGTGGACGTTTGCACGATAAGTGTGGGTTTCAGTATAAATACACTAGACAAGACTAGGGTTTCACTAAAATAGTAATAATAATTAGACGGTTGTTTGACGCTAATAAGTGTGACCCGATACCCGATTCTTGTCATTCATGAAGACTAGTCCTTAACGTAATATTTAATAAATTTAAGTTGGCATGCGGTAGTGTTCGGTTGGTATGCGGTGGCATGAGCCTTTGAGACCGCTAAACTAGCATTGTCTGCCTCTATATAGTTTTCAGAATGGGTAAGTAGGTAGCGGTAATTTCAATATTTATTTTTAGTGGAAAAACGGGGGGAGGGGGTTACGTTCTCCCCCACCCCGCTGGATCCGTGCTTACACATGAGCCATTGTGTACACTAGGCTTGGTCTATAGTCCTTATGATCCGAGAAGATATGTTCTACCGCCAGAAGTATAGACGAGCATCTGTTTGAACCAGCGACGTAGGTGTAGGCCAATCAACTCTTTGTTGATGTCAATCATGAGCGTTTTAGTCCTACATTTGATTTGAAGCTTTGTGTTGTGCTTTTAGCTTTCCATAAATTTAAATTTCTCTTTTATATTGTAAACTTTTATTCTTTTCTATTTAATTGTGAATGTTTTTTTATCTTTGGCATTTTGCTGTTTTGTACTTGTGAATGAGTTTTGTGATGCAAACCATTTCAGCTTCGGCTACTGTTTGTAACTGTTTTTATATGATTATACCTGAATAAATAAATAAAATTTGTGCAATATTAATAAATTATTATAAATATAAATATTATTGTTATAACTGACGCTGATTTTTAAAAATTTGTTTTTAGATGTGTAATGATGAAATTATAAAAGTCAACGAAAAACTGACAGAAGTTGTTACAGTTTTTAAACAGTTGTGCTATTATTTCATCGTCATCATTAGTATCATTATTGCCATTACAATCGCCATTATTCTCTGTGGCGTAGGTAATCGCAGTGGAGCCATTGCAAATCCCAAGGACCCGGGGCAATTAGGGGCTCGTTCAGTAATGCCTAAAATTGATAAATTAAAGAAAAAAATTAATACTCAACTCTTTAAAAGAAAAAAAAAATGGCCAGCAAACCCCTCAATAATATTTAGGTTTTAGAGGCAATAATTGATAACTTTATTTTAATTTATGGTACAAGGTAGGCCTAAAGTAAGAAACATTTATTTTTAATGTTATACATTTTCCATACTCTTTTTCTTTGACAAAAAGATGTTGTATGCCCATATATAGACATGATGTGCCTATATATGCTTATTGCCATATTAAACATGTCACAAGTTTTGTCAAATGAAATTTGATTGTCTAGACAGGGTTCAACAGTTTATTTTTATATTGTGATTTTGTAAATGATGAATATAGTGGTCGATTCTCTTGAACGGTTATTGATCAAAATAACAGATATGTTGGGACGGTCTCGTGTAGATCTAGGGAATAATTTGTAAATGATAACATTTATAAAAATTCACAGGCTCAAAATATAGTTTATATTTTTTTTTGTTTTTTCATTACATTTATTCTGTCTTCCTGTCTAGCATCAGATGAATTATACTTGGCTTTAAGCATAATATATATTTTTTTTATGCAGTACTTCTATTTCTTTTAGATGTTTAATATTTTAAATTTTTTACTCCATACTTTCTTAGGCATTCTTGTAATTTGGGATTTAATTTTTAATAATCTAGCATTGGGAATAAGAATTTTATTTGTTCCAAGTTCACAATCACAATAAATGTATCGTGTATATTTTAACTTAAAAACACATTATAACACTGAGCCTTGATGTTAACAAATGAAGTCAAAAGTAACAAGTATTCCATCTTAACATAATACTTTATATTAAATTATCAATGCTAGAAATACAAATTGAGATTTTTTTTTATAGTCAGGCAGTACTATAACAATATCAATGAATAATAAAATGATAAACAAATATTAACAGTATACAAATACTGTGTTATAAGTAACAGGGTAGCAATACAGTTAATAATGATATTGATAATATTTAGAGCAACAACACTACAATCACAATAAGATCATCAATGGGAACCAGTGTGGTCTCATATTGTATGAACAGTATTAATGATGCACTACAAATTGCGATGACAATATGTACTTAATATGTACTTTATGCTGTCCAGATTAACAGATTTTCTTTGATGAAAAACTGTTGTACGCACATATATAGTCATGATGTGTCTATATATGGTCATGATGTGATGTCATCATGACCATATAAAGGCATGTCACATGTTTTTGTCAAACAAAATTTGATAGTCTGGACTGGATTTTATGCATCAGTGCATTCGCTGACCACCCACGCATTATAAAAGACAATTTATGCTGACCTTAGACCGACTGACATGAACCAAATCCTGAAAGGTGGAATTACTGTAGCCTATATCTGACTTCCGATTGCTACTACTGTGCCCCCAAAATGACCTACTTTAATTCTAAAATTTCAATCATTTCCAATGTGAAAAGGCTTAGGCTTTTTTTAAATATTTTATTTATTTATTGTTTCATTCAAATAACGAAAAAAAAAAGGCGTAGGCCTATATTGAAAATTAAAGGCCTATGTATAGGCCTACAATCTGTAGATGGAGCCCACTCTCAGAAAGTGTCGTTAGAGATGGTTAATGCTTGGCATGTTTTGAGGTGGATGAAAACACAACAGCTTTTTCATCATTCGTTTATGGAGTTGTTTTAGTAACAGTATTAAAGGGCATGTTGAAAGACCTTTTGTCTTGCCGGTCCTGAGGATATCTGAATTCGGTTGTTTATTTATTTATTTATTTTTTTTTTGTTACACTGAAGATGTCGTATACGAAGAAGAAACATGTCTGGTTCTTTTAGGCCTAAATGTATTTTTGTTGCTCTTAAATTCGTTTTCATATTACTTTCTGTTCCGAAGTTTGGCTGTATTGTACATGAGTTTATACAGACCAGTACGGTCAC